GAAGGGACTCTTTCTTTCTTTCTTTCTTTCTTTCTTTCTTTCTTTCTTTCTTTCTTTCTTTCTTTCTTTTTTCTTTCTTTTTCTTCTTTCTTTTTCTTTGACTTTCTCCTGCCTTTCTTTATTTATTTTTCTTTCTTTCTCTTCTTTCTTTCTCTTCTTTCTTTTTTTCTTCTTTTTGTCTTTCTTTTTCTGTCTTTCTCCTTTCTTTCTTCCTTTCTTTCCTTATTTTTTCTTTCTTTCTGTCTTTCTGGCTCTCTTTTCTTTCTTCCTTTTTTTCTTTCATACTGTCTTCTTTCGGTCATTCCTTCCATTCTTTCTTTCTTCTTTTTTCTTTCTTTTTGCCTTTCTTTTTCTTCTTTCCTTCTGTCTTTCTCTCCTTTCTTCCTTTGTTTCTTTTTCTTCTTTCTTTCTGCCTTTCTGGCTCTCTTTTCTTCCTTCCCTTTTTTCTTTCATACTTTTTCCATTTGGTCCTTCCTTCCATTCTTTCTTTCTTTCTTTTTCTTTCTTCTTTTCCTCACTCTTTTTTTCTTTCTTTCTTTTTCTTCTTTCTTTCTGTCTTCCTTTCTCTCTCAACTTCCTTCTTTTCTTTCTTTTCTCCCTCTCTCCTTCCTTCCTTCGTTTCCTTCTTTATTACTTCCTTCCTTCCTTTCTTTTCTCCTCCCTCCTTTCTTTCCCTCCTTCCTTCCGGTCTTTTTTCTTTCTTTCTCCTCTTTTTTTCTTTCTTTCATTCTTTCTTTCTTTCTCCCCTTTTTCAGCCTGGGAGCATGTAATATTTAGTCTGAGGAAAGGACCCCAAAACCCTGAATATATTCATCCTTTTCTCATCCTTCCTCCCCCCCATTCTTCTCTTCCCCCTGATGGGTTCCGTCACCTGCAATCGGATCTCTTTCTTTCCCTCTTTCATTCCATCCATCACTGCCCTCTTGTTTCTCGGGAAAGTCGCCCAAGGCTGACCCGGATGGTCTCTGCAAGATGGTTCAGGGATTGTTTTTTTCCTCCCCCACCTCCCTCCTGCTTCTTACAGTTCAGCGAGAACTCCGGCGGCTCGAGCGACACCAAGTACGAAGATGGGCAGCTGTGCCAGTACTCGCCCTGGTCCTGCAGCACCATCAATTCATGCATTAGCGCGGTTGAGGCGGAACCGAAGGACGTCCAGTCTAAATCCACCACAGTCCTCCTAGTAAGGCCGCATCCCGTAGAGATTCTCGGTCATGGAGGTCCCAGAAGTGCTTTTCAAAGGGCAGGCCGACTTCCTTTGTTTTTCTCCTTGAAGACGTTTCGCTTCTCACCCAAGAAGCTTCCTCACTTTACCTATAATAATAATAACAATAATAACAATAGCAGCAGCAATAATAATAATAATAATAATAATAATAATNAGGAAGGAAGGAAGGAGGGAGATAAGAATGAGGAAAGATAGGAAGGAAGGAGGGAGGGAGATAGGAATGAGGAAAGATAGGAAGGAAGGAGGGAGGGAGGGAGGGAGATAAGAATGAGGAAAGAGGAAGGAAGGAAATAGGAATGAGAAAAGAAATATAGGTAGGAAGGAGGGAGGTAGGGACATAAGAATGAGGAAAGGAAGATAGAAAGGAAGGAAGGAGGGAGGGAAGGAGATAAGAATGAGAAAGGAAGGAGGGAGGGAGGAGATAGGAATGAGAAAAGAAATATAGGGAGGAAGGAGGAAAGGAGAGAGGAAGGAAGGAAGGAAGGAGATAAGAATAAGTTAGGAAGGAGGGCGGAACGAAAAGACAGGAATGTAAAAAGGATGGATGGATGAATGAAAGTAAGTAAGTACGATAAGAATGAAAAGAAAGAAAGGAAGATAAGAATGAAAAAAGAAAGGAAGAAAAATAATAAAGGAAAGAAGGAAAATAAGAATGAAGATAATGAAAAAAGGAAGGACGAATGAAAAATGGAAGGAAGAACGGATGCGCAGACGGACGTTTCATTGGAAGGCAAAACAGATGTGAATGAGATAATTGTGGGACCTACCACCAAAGGTGGCCCTAATTCTCCTGCCTCCGTCATCTCATTCCCCACAGCCATTTCCCCCCCTGAGCAACCAGGTTTCGCACCTCTAGCCAAGCCTGCTTAGATTGCGGTGGGCTACGGGGATTCGGCGGCGGGGGGGGGGGTGTCTCCTCCTTCAGGGTCCTTTTCCAAAATATTTTCATACTTCCTGTCTTTGTGCGGGGGGGACGGGACGGACGGACGACACTCACCTTGAGGATGTCCCTTAGCAACGTGGCATTGTAGTACTCGTCCCGGAAGCCATCCTTCCTACTGTCCATCGTGGTGGTCACAAGATCCACACATTCCAGGAACTTGGACTTCTCTGGCACTTCCTAAGGACAACACCCCCCCCCCCAAAAAGAGTTAAAAATACAATTTTGGCAAGAAAGACAGGAGTGGCGTTGACGGGAGCAGGAGAAAAGGCTCCCTTTTGAGTTTATGGTTGAGCCTTTAATCAAGAACGATTCTCTACTATTTCACCGGAAATATATAAGTAGAGAATTGAAATATCTGATTGTAAATGTGTTCACAGCGGCTAGAATTGTGTTTGCAAAAAAATTGGGGGGGAAAAAACGAGGAAACGCCAACGCAGGAGGAAGTTATTCAGAAAACAATGGAAATCAAATTGAAATCAGAGAACAAGAAGACAAACAATTTTATAAGATATGGGATTTGTTTTATCGATGGTTAGATTAAAAAAAAAATGGAAATGAAATATACTAGAGAATCTTACAATACAAAGATAATGGAATGAGACAGAATATAATATAAAGGTGTACTACCATTGGATGGATTTAGGATGATGTAATGAAATGCCGTAATATAAATTAATTCAAAATTCAGAACATCTCGCATAAAATGAATAATAGATAGAGTCAAACAAATGATTAATAGTGATAATAATGTATACATATATAATAGATCAGTGTTTCTCAACCTTGGTAACTTGAAGATGTCCGGACTTCAACTCCCAGAATTCCCCAGCCAGCGAATGCCAAGGTTGAGAAACACTGTAATAGATTGATAATATGAGATTTTATATAAATAAAATATAAATATATATAAATATATAAATAAAGTGAGGACGAGGGAGAGGATGCACAAAGGTTTTGTATGCAACTGGAAGATGGTTTTATGTTCTATGTTTTGTTCGTGTTTGACTAAAAAATAAAATAAAAACTATTTGAAAAAAAAGAATGATTCTCAACTCCATTTGGTTAGAAAAGTGTATTTTACTAAAGATCAAGTGAAGTACAGGTAGTCCTCGGCATACGACCACAGTTCAGCCCAGCATTTCTGTGGCTGAACAAGACCGTTGTTTAGTGAGTTTTGCCCCATTTTACGACCTTTCTGGACAGATTTGTTAAGTGAATCACGGGACTTGTTAAGTTGGTCGCAAAAAGGGGAGCACGAAACCCTGGGATATTGCAACCGTCATAAATATGAACTAATTGTCAAGCCTGCTTCAGGCAATGGTCGTAAGTGTGAAAAATGGTCAGGTCCTTTTTTCAGTGCCGTTGTAACTTCGGTCACTAAATGGACTGTTGCAAATCGACGACTATCTGTATTTTTCAACCCTGTCAATGTTAAGATGCGTGGATTTCAACTTCTTTCTTTCTTTCTTTCTTTCTTTCTTTCTTTCCTTCCTTCCTTTTTCTTTCTCTTTCTTTTTTCTTTCTTTCNTGAATTTTGACCACGTGACCGCAGGGATGCTGCAGCGGTTGTGTGAAAAACAGTTGTAATTCACATTTTCAGTGATGCTGTAACTCTGTAACGGTCACTAAATGAACCGTTGTAAGTTGAGGACTGACTACCTGTAAACCATCCACCCATTTTCTCACTGCTGGCTTCTTCACAAGAACTCCAGATAATTGTGTGCTTCTGCTAAGACGTCTCTACTGCAGGTAGACCTCGACTTACGACTGCAAATGAGCCCAAGATATTCCGTCGCTAAGCGAGACAACGGTTAGGTCAGTTTTGCCCCATTTTACAACCTTTCTTGCCACGTTTGCTAAGTGACTCCCTGCAGTCGTTAAGTCAGTAACACGGTTGTTAAGTGAATCTGGCTTCCCCATTGACTTTGCTCGCCGGAACGTCGCAAAAGGGGACCACGCGACCCTGGGACATTGCGACCGTCATAAGTATGAGTAAGTTGCCAAGCGGCCGAATTTTGATCATGGGGACTCTGGGCAACGGTTGTCACTGTGAAAAACAGTCCTAAGTCACTTTTTTCAGTGCCGCTGTAATTCTGAACGGTCACTAAAAGAAATGGTTGTAAGTCGAGGACTACCTGCATTAAACAGTCCTGAGGTACAGGTCCCAGACAGAAATCAACTACGCTTGTCTGGATGCGTGACGTCAATCGGGATCAGGATTTTTCCATTAGTAAGCAAAACGATTGTTAAAGAGTGTTTTACAATCTCATGCTGTCGAATTACTGCCCTCATTAAGCGAATCCTGCGGTCGTTAAGCAAACCCAGCTCCTTTCATTAACTTGGCTCATCGGAAGACAGCTGGGAACGTCACAAATGCCGATCGTGGGACCCTCCCCCTCCCCTCCTCTCGGGGGCCAAGCGGCCGAATTTTGATCATGTGACCTTGAATGTCGTAAGTGCGAGGACCGTTCCAACCACCACCAACCCATTTACCTTCACAAAATTGATCCTGGGCTCCCTCAGTATGGCTTTAAGCATTCGGATGGCGGCTTTCGTGTTGTGGATCGTGTCATCTTTCATGCCTCGGAGGGCAGCCAGAATTAACTGCATTTGATCCTCTGCACGCAGGTATCTTTTAAATATCTGGGAAGAGAAAGAGGGTGAAGCCCCAAACCATCCTCTTCTTTCAGCCATAATCCCTTGCGGGGTGGAGTCTGGGCAACGNCATCCATCTTCAAATGGCTGCCATGCTGGCTGAGGAATTCTGGGAATTGATGTTCACCCATCTTCAAATGGCTGCCATGCTGGCTGACGAATTCTGGGAGTTGAAGTCCATCCATCTTCAAGTTGCTGCCATGCTGGTGTCAACCCTGAAGCTGACCCAACCGAGGCCGTTCTGAGGCTTCAATGTTGCCACACTGGAGCTGATTAGGTGAAAATGGGCAGGAACATTCCGAGTTGGTTTTCACCACCCTGTGCCAAGATGATATATCCAAATAAAGCTGTTCTGCGAGGAATCATCCTGCCTTGGAGTTCTTTTCGCTACGGCTGTATGGGGAATTCTGGGAGTTGAAGTCCATCCATCTTCAAGCAGTCAAGGTGGAGAAACACGGCCCTAAATCTTTTAACTTCCCTGAAATGTCCTCAATAGGCCATCGGAGGAAGCCGACCTTCTTGGAAGGTGACTCTGCAGGGATGAAGGGATCGGCTCCCAGCCAAGACCCATCAGGCACCGCCTTAGACCTTACCTGTCACATTGGAGGGAGCAATTGAGGAGGGTCCTTACAACTTCTTCGGGGTGGCTGGTACTGATCTGCCGGAGTAGCCGGAAGAATTCATGGCGGCCAGAAGGGTCCGTGATTTGAGCCAAGAAGGAATACATGAACTTGACCATCTTGGGCACCTGGGAAAGAGGGTTGGATGTGATGCCTCTGCGTGAGACAGGTAGTCCTCGACTTACGGCCACAACTGAGCCCAACATTTCTGCCGTCCCGTTTTATGACCTTTCTTGCCCCAGTTGTTAAGTGAATCACCGCGGGTGGTAAGTTAGTAATACGGTTGTTAAACGAGACTGACTTCCCCATTGACTTGGCTTGGCAGAAGGGAATCGCACGAACCCCCCCCCCCCCGGGACATTGTGACCATCATGAATTTTTTTTATTTTATTTCAAAAGTTTTATTTCTTTTAAGGCAAACATTTCATCATTCCTCAATTAGTTAAGACATCGAAGTACAATTTTTTGTATATCAAAATAATTCTAGTTTACCACCANTCCTTCCTTCCTTGCCTCCCTCTCTCCCTCCCTCCTTATCTCCCTTCTCCCTCCCCCTTCCTTCTCTCCCTCCCTCCTTCTCCTCCTCCCTCCTTCCTTGCCTCCCTCCCTCCTTCCTTCCTTCCTTCCTTCCTATGCTGACTGGGGAATTCTGAGAGCGGAAGTCCATGCATCTTAAGGTTGACCAGATGGGGATTTGAAGGCCCGAATGAAAACAAATGAATTTCATAGCAGACTAAG